CTCATGAAACAAAAAAAGCTTGCCAAACTGAAAGGTTATCTGGCAAGGATGAAGTTGCAGGACAAACTACCACCCTATATCCAAAGAGACCAGGAACTTGCAGAGAAACACAGGTTTGAACACATAAGCCTGTAGGAATTTTAAACCAAAGATTCTATGATTAGCTACAGTGTGAAACTACTGTGTTCCATAGAGTAGTTTCTACTTCTTTAAAGAGCTTTTCCTACAGAAATCCCACCAGGCTCCTGTGGTAAAGATCAGAGGGGGAAAAAAATCTAAGAAAAAGTTCCCATAATGTAGCTGGATAGCTGGATAACTAAAACAGTCTACTGTGAAACTCACCAAGACCACCTTTTCTAATCTTTAGTACAGAAGGAAGGGATAAATCTTCAGGAAGGAGGACTTAGGACCCATGGCTTAAAGACATTAGTGTATTCCCAAAGGGGTGTGGTAGGGGATTGGGGAGAAAGAGAAAATTGCTGCATGTTAAGAATGAACAGTAAATCTTGCACACTCAAGACCAAGGGTTCTAGTTATCTCACCAATCAGATCATCAGAGAAAACATCTCTTCCCAAACCAACCACACCTGACATACCACCTACCTGGTAACAGTGGAATACAATTGGAAAAGCTATAAAAACCTAATTTTAGAAAACAGTACAATGGACAACCCAATGCCAAGAAAAGTAAAAAAGATCTCATGAGGGATAGAAAGATGTCTCAGCAGTTAAGAGCACTTGCTGCTTTTACACAGGATCCAGGTTCAGTTCCCAGGACCTACATAGTGGCTCATAAACGTTTATAACTCCAGTTTGAGGGAATTAGACCTCTATGAGCACCAGGTACACAAGGTAGCACACAGACATGCTCATAGGCAAAACACTCATCCACATAAAATAAACACAAAAAATAAAGCTATCATTAGAGGAATAGGAAATCCCTGGTGTGCATACCCTGTCCCCCCCATACCCACCAGGCCAACTCCTCACCAGAGTATCCAAACTAGAGTCTAGGAAAAGAAACCAGAACTCTCTAACTATTAAAAATTTATCAGAATCTCTTGCCCATGTTCAGTTTTAAGAATGTTCACAAGGTGTACCAAATGGTACAAAAATATCCCAAGTTACAAGGCAATCACTGGGTTCAAACACCATAGTAGATGTTGGGACTATCAAAAATGAAATTTAAAGAATTATGATTCATGCTAAAAAGCCTAATAGATAAAGCAGATAATATGTAAGTTCAGACAGACGATTTCAGCAAAGAAATGGAATCTAGGAGAAAAAAAGCAAATAAAAATACTAAAAATAAAAAAGTTTAAAAATTCAGCAACTAGCCGGGCGGTGGTGGCGCACGCCTTTAATCCCAGCACTTGGGAGGCAGAGGCAGGTGGATTTCTGAGTTCGAGGCCAGCCTGGTCTACAGAGTGAGTTCCAGGACAGCCAGGGCTACACAGAGAAACCCTGTCTCGGAAAACCAAAAAAAAAAAAAAAAAAAAAAAAAAAAAATTCAGCAACTAAGTGGGCTCAAGAGTAGATTTGATGCAGCCAAGAAAACAATAGCTTGAAGGTCATGTTTATTGATCAGGCCACTAAAAATTAAAACAAAGGAGAATGAAGAAAGAGAAGAAAGGAGAAAGGAAGAGAAGGAAGAAAGAAGAAGGGAGGAAGGGGACAAGGAGGAAGAAAGGGAAGAAGGAAGAAAGGAAGAGAGGAAGGAAGGGAGGAGGGAAGGAAGAGAAGAGGAGGAGGAAGAAGAGAGGAAAACAAGACCAACAACAACCACCCAGAATACACTGGAATGATGGCTCAGTGAGTAAGAGCACTTGTTATTCTTGTTGAGGACCTGGCTTCGATTCTGAGAACCCACATGCTGGCTCACAACATTCTGTAACTCCAGTTCCAGGGGACACAACACCCTCTTCTGGCCTTCACAGCACTGATATACATGCAGGCAAAAATATTTAAAAATAGCACAGAACATTCAAGAACTGTGAGCCATTAACAGTATAACTAACTTGGAATTGGAATCCTAGACAAACAAAACAAAAGCAAAATAGGCTGAATTATTTGAAAAACAACAGCTGAAAAACTATACACAGAAACCACAGATAAAGGGAGTTTGGAGACTATTAAACAGGATAAATAAAAAATATAAAGCCATATCTAAGTATATCATATTCAAATTGCTTAAAATCAAAGGTAAAAAGAAAACCTTTACGGTTGTCAGAAACAAAGAGAGACACCAGATGTACACAAGGACAATAATTATACCAGACTTAACTAGATGATATACAACATTGGAATAATACATTGAAGGAAGGGGAAAATCTCTTCCAGTCATTTGTTCTACATGGCACAAATGACCTTCAAAAGTGAGTTGAGTATGAAAACTTTCTCAGACAAACCCTAAATGTTTAAAATTCCTCTTTTCGTTAAAATTAAGTTTTACTTTAATATGATATTTTATTAATTCTTTTGAGAATTTCTGACATGCATACAATATATTTTGATCATATTCACCACCTACACTTTCCTCTAACTCCTCCAGGACCCACCCGTACCTCTCTTCCAACTTCATATGCTTTTAAAAAACTCACTTAAAGTTCAATTTGTGCTGTTCATATAAGCATAGGTATAGGGCCATCCACTAAAGCATGGATAATCTATTAGGGACTATATTCCTAAAGAAAACTGACTCTCCTCCTGGCAGCCATTACTCTCAATGGTTCAACTAGAAGTAGGAGCTTATGACCCCGACCCCTTCCTTCCCCTCCATACTAGAATGTTGTCTGGCTAAAGAAAATTCTCTAAGCAAGTTGGGAAACTAGGATTGAGAAAAGAAATAAAAAGCACTGGAAAAGGAATAAATGAAGGTAAGTATGACATTTTTCTTTTCTTTTTTTGGTTTTTGGTATTTTTCGAGACAGGGTTCCTCTGTGTAGCCCTGGCTGTCCTGGAACTCACTCTGTAGACCAGGCTGCCCTCAAACTTAGAAATCCGCCTGCCTCTGCCTCCCAAGTGACATTTTTCTAAAATGTTTAAGAAGTCAATTTTCCATCCATCAGTCAAAGGCCAATTTTACAACCAAGCTTTCTAAGATAGCAGCCTCAAACCTGCTAAGAAATTGCTTTCTACAGAAAAGTATACTAGAACAAACAAACAAAACACCCAAAACCAAAATGCTACAGCCAGTATTATTCCCGATGAGAGATGGGAACAAATTAAATGATCCTTTTTCACTACAATTCTAAAGAAGAAAAATATCAGAATACTAATATTACATATTTCAAGATAAACCACAAAACTACAGTACTCGAGAAAGTATGTTAACATAGTATATGATAGCGAGGGATGAGGCTTAGAGCTAGAACACTTGCCTAACATGCTTTAGGCCATGGGATCCACCCTTAGCACTGCAAAGAAAAAAAATAGTATAATTAATAGAAAAATGGTTAAAACACACAGATTTATGGAACAGAGCTGCTCAGAAATGTTGCACAAGTGCAAAGACAGTTGAATAAATAAAAGACAGACTTTTTATTAACAAATGATGCCATAAAACATCTCATTGCAGGAAAATGAACTTCAACATTTTCATGGTTTATTGGAATCTGAAATATAGAACCCCTTTGGAGGACAGTTTGTCCACTTCTGTCAGATAAAGATCAGTAATCTCATTCTCATGTATTTATCCAAAAGGAACTGAAAACTTATGCTCACACAAAGATTTATAAACTAATATTTACCACATCAGTTTCCTCTACCCTACATACACATAACTCAAACCTGGAGGTGTAGCTCAGTGGTATAGTATGTTTGTAGTACATGGAAAAATGGAAAATCCTGGATAGTCTTAATCCCCAGCACCACAAAAAAAGTCAGAACTATACCAAGAAGCATTTCAAGGGGAAAAAAACTTACCTGGATTTTTTTTCTTTTAATCTGATCAAGTCAAGTTGGAAAGAAGTGATGGGAATTCCTATAACTCTCTATCAGGTCTTCTTAAAAACACATTTAATTTTTGAAATAGGAAAATAACATATCTTAAAATTCAAAAGGTATACAGAAGAGCTTATGCACTGAAAAGTCTCACTCTCAGCCACTAGTCCAGGTCATTCATGCCCCGAAACTGTCAGTGCTTAAACAGCCCGTCTATATAATCAAAAATTTATATATTCTTGGCATCACTCTCTGTTTTACCTAAATGGTAACGCATTCTCTATTCTGTTTCTAATATACAGCGTAATAATACTCTTTTGTATAACTAAGTACTGACTGATACTCAATATATCACTAATCTTCTGTTACTGTAAGCAACATTCCAATTAACATACAAGTATTTGTCTAATTAATTTTTGGATAAAGTGCTAAGTCAAATACTATGTTTATAAATATGGATGGTTCTTTTCAAGCTCCTGACTTAAATATCAGGAATTCTAAATTTTTATTGTAGGAGAAAGTAAGCAAACTTGGGCTGGAGAGATGGCTCAGTGGTTAAGAGCACTGACTGCACTTCCAGAGGTCCTGAGTTCAAATCCCAGCAACCACATGGTGGCTCACAACCATCTGTAATGAGATCTGATGCCCTCTTCTGGTGTGTCTGAAGACAGCTACAGTGTATTCATATATAATAAATAAATCTTTAAAAAAAAAAAAGAAAGTAAGCAAACCTAAGATTCTGCCATCACACAAGTTTCAGGAAGAATACACACCCCTATGATGCACAAAATGAGCATTTTACTCAGTTTCCCACAATTCCAAGGACTATTACATTTTGTATAATAAATTTCAGTCCTCAAGATGTTGTAAAAAGCTGGGCAGTGGTGGTGCACACCTTTAATCCCAGCAATTGGGAGGCAGAGGCAGGCAGATTTCTGAGGCTAGCCTGGTCTACAGAGTGAGTTCCAGGACAGCCAGGGCTACACAGAGAAACCCTGTCTTGAAAAACCAAAAAAAAAAAAAAATGTTGAAAAAATCTGTTATGTGAAGAATGTTACCTTTGAGGTCTTCCAAACTAAGGTCAAAGTCTGATGCCTCCACAATGGTAGATCTTGGCCACTCCACAGTATGATGCTGGATTCGTCACTGCAACCACAGGAATGTAAAAATTGGAATAAATAAAACATATTTATAAAGAATCCTTTATCCATATTACAATGCCCAATTTCTTTCCTTAGGTAAAAATTATATTAAAGGGTGTGGGAAGGGGGCGGGGGTCCAAGGCAAAATTGCCATTTTTTCTTTCATCTCCTGATGGTAGATTCTCATGTCTTTTTGCTTAACAACAAATGTGATTAAGCATGAATACGTGTTGAGGAGACACAGGAACTCTTTTGATAAAAGCTGTATAATATCAGAGAGCAGTTGACCCATTTGTGAGAATATCTACTTCCAAAACCACACTGCCTCCCTATGGCTTTCCATTCATTACCAATTATTATGCATTATTGGTATAAAGGCTCCCAATTTATTCCCAGCTCTTTATATCCACTCTTTAAATGGTCTCCCACAATGACTCTGGACTTGGTCATGAAAGTACTCTTGTGATTTAGGAATGAACAATAGTAAATGTGACAGGAGCAGATGTTTGAAAAAAAGTACTTATGTACTGGTTGGTGCTTACTCTCCCTTGCTTCTCTCTCTTTTGAGACTCTGAGACCACCATGTTAATAAGTCTAGACTAGCCACCTAGAAGAGACCACATAGAGTAGTGAGCCATCCAAGCTTAGGGCCTCTTTCCTAAACAATTAGTCTACCAACCACCAGCTGGTTAGGCAAGGACATCCTAAAGCATCAAGCCACCAACTAAGCGATTTCTCTTACCTCTAGCACAGGCTACTTAGAAGTATGTTTGTGACCCAATATATATGACAAGGGGAAGAGAACACTGATTTTCTCTTGTGAGGTTTATGATATATATAAAAACAGTCCCAAATACAAAAACTTCCACTACCTGAATGAAAATATGAAAAAATATAGTTGAAAAACATATTCTCACTCTTTCCAGTCTCACAAATGTACTGTCTACCATCACAGATGGCACATGCACAAAATTTTAAAATGACGAATTTCCATTTAGTCACAGAAGTATCTTAATTATGATATATTTAAACTAAAGTCTTACATTTCACTGTTCTATTTATAAGGCTAAATCCAGGTTTCCAGAAATTATTTTTCCTCTCAATTTCAATTGTTTGTCTATTTCATGGGGCTTAATGAAAGTTAGATGACTTCCCTTAATGCATCCTAAAATGTAAAAGATATGAAACTAATTAAACTTCTTTTTACCATTTTTACCAGCATTCTGAAGTGCCACCTTCTTTTGGCATCATGGCAACTCTTCTCACAATATTCACAGAGACAGTCCAAGTTACCTACCTATGCATTTGACACAGGTTTTATACAGAAACATCACCTATATTGGAATGCAACGTGGAACACTGAAGAAATGACATAAAGATTTCTTTTAAAAACCACTGAATACTTTTTTCTGAAGTACTTACACATGCGGTTTAGAAAAAATTTAATAAAATACCTTCAAGTAGTCTATGCTTACCTTTAAAATAAAGTATAAGTTTCTTGATGAGATTCTACAAAGTCTATCAATCTTCTGCCTACCTCATCTCTCTTTTCCCAGATCCAGCCAAACCTCTGTGAATCCTTTATGCCTCTGTCCCAACTCTGCTGTCACAATACTTACTATTCCCTCCACCTGTCAATCTCTTCTCTCTTCTTTTTACCTTGTTTATTATGATTCATTCTTGAGGTTCCAAGGCCACTCCACTGGTAAGTCATAGAGGAATTAATTCTATCTATTCCTTATACATTCATTCTCTCTCTCTCTCCCCCCAGCCCCCGTGTGTGTGTGTGTGTGTGTGTGTGTGTGTGTGTGTGTGTGTGTGTGTGTAAGACCTTGGGCAAGTTGGCTCTGGTTCACCATTTCAAGATTCACACCTCTAAGAGATATCCTCTGCTCAGAGAGCTATTCAGTACTCAACGTAAAAGAAATGGTTACCAAATCACGGTTGCTATTATATTTATTATCCCATAAGGTAAGTACCATCATCTTTCTTAGCACAACTAACAATTAGATATTTATCTGCTAAAAAAAAAAAAAACAAGAAATTTCCACTTGGATTCTACCTTAATACCTAATTTTTTTTTATGTTACTCTCAACATATTGTATTTTTTGTAAGGAGATGAAATGAATATTTATAGAGCAACTATTACTTCAACTAAATTCTCACTACCATCCTCAGAAATATGATTTGGCACATGAAGAAACTGAGGCATAGAGAAGTAAACTAGCCAATATCAAATAGAAGAGCCAGAATTTGAGTCCAAGTTTGCCTGAGTTCCACTGCCTGAGGTGGATGGATGACATCAAAGGATTCCCTAACTCATGAACCTTCTCATCTAAGAACAGAAGATAGATATGTACAGTTGCATCCAGTTAAGTGACTCTCAGATGTCTACTCTTCGGCTCCTTAACCAGGCCTCTGTTCAGCAGAACATTCCTCCTCCTGTGAGAAGATTCCTTACATTCTTTCCACTGGACATTAAACTCTTAAGGGGATGAGTATCTTTCACCTTTTATACTCATAGCAAATAGAAAGCACTCAGTATGTTTGTTGAATGAATTAAATAGTGGCTGTATTAATGGCCACAAAACTGAGGGGTTTCATGGTATTAAAATCTGACAGAGAGAAGAAAACATGACAAGAACAGTGAAAAGGAAAGGGTATCTTAAATACTTTTATAATTGGTCATGACTTCTTTACCTAACATCAGAGATTCAACTAGAATTACAGACATATGCTTGGTAGCTACAAAGGGACTTTACCTCGGGAGCCCTGCCCTACCACCAATGTTCTGCTATACCAGTGATTGCATCTGAGACATTCTTCACAACAGGATGGCCTTGACAAATACCATTCTCTCACTGTTAACACTGAAATGATTTGTAAAAAGAAACAGAAAGAGCAAATGAAAACAAACTGCTGATAACTGGTGACCTTGGATAAAGGGAATACAGTGAGTTTTTATACCAATCTTGCAACATTTTTGAAAATTATAATACTTTATCAAAATTAAGTTTTCAAAATCTAGAAAAGAATAATATCAGCAAGTTTCCCAGAGATTTCAACAGAGGGTCCAGTGTACAGGCCAAGCTGATATCACATTCTCTTGTTAGCTAATCCAAAAACAACATCCTGGTCAAACTTTGACCACACCTTACAATTCTACTGCTCAAGAGGCTGAGGCAGGAGGATCATGAGTTGGAAAGCCAGTCTGGGCTACACAATAAAACCCTGTCTCAAAACAACAACAACAAAAAACCCACAATGGCTTAGGTGTCTTTGCCTATCAACAGGTATCAGAGGAAAATGTTCTCTTTGGGTAGTAGGGCATAGCCACAGTTTCTGAGCTGGAGCAGGAGGGTACTCATAATATCATAGATGCCTCCTATTAGCCAAAGTCCCAATATAACTTCTTTTATTCCTTAGAAATATATTTTTATTATACTGTGTTTTCTAAGATTTATTTATTTTACATATATGAGTACTCAGTCTTCATGCACACAAGAAGAGGGAATCAGATCTCATTACAGATGTTTGTGAGCCACCATGTGGTTGCTGGGAATTGAACTCAGAACCTCTGGAAGAGCAGACAATGTTCTTAACCACTGAGCCATCTCTTCAGCCCTTATATCTTCTTCTCATCAGATCCTTTTCTTCAGGGCAAATCAGGACTCCTAGGTACCCACAAGAACATGTATGTCCTCATGTCCAGAAAAACAACACTTTGAGTTCTTACCTTCCCTTTCCCAAGTCAGGCAAGTTTTTCCCAATGACTCAGCACAGAGGCACTTTTGGTTATAGGAGCCTTGCTTCTGCTGTCTATGGGAAGACCTACAGAAGACACAAGATGGATCATGGAGGAGTCACAAAAACAGAAAACTTAAAAGCACTAGTAAATTGGTCTGTAATGATCATCTACTAGCCCCCCTATTATTCATTCATTACTTCTAACCATCCATCCTAGATTCTCCCTATCCCACAAATCTGTATAAGCTGAAAATGCTTTAATTTTCTTAGCCACAGTAACTGGAACAATACAAACTTGTGAATGAACCAAATGTCCCCACTTTATAAAGGAATCGGGGTAAGGGGTAGGTAGATAGCTCAGTGGCAGAATGCTTACTTAGCATGTGCAAAGTTCTGGGTTCAATTTTCAATACCAAAAATTATGGCTAGGATAGAGCCAGATGGGTATCACCTAACACCTACCTCTCATCTAAAAAAAATGAGGCAAGTAAAGATCACAGTAAGTGATCCCCTACTGAGAGATTATCTTAATATAAATCAGCATATCAGTTCTATTTTCTTCAGCTCCTGTTTTTTTTTTTTTGTAATCTTCATGAAGAGGCCCGTACATTATGTACTATGATAATATTCAACCTCACTTTAGCCTCCCTCTCTGCATCCCTGATCAAGGTTTCTAAGAGTTCTCTAATGTCATATCTCCATAAATACCTGATATCTCCTGATTCCCTTACCACTCTCAAAATATGCGATTAGTTTCAGCTAGACCTCAAAGTTGAAAAACAAAAAACAAAAAAGGGGAGATGGCTTTGTATATCTTACAGGACAAACATTTGTTATGGTTGGTAGGACATAAGAAAGAAATAAAACAAGCAATATCAAAGGAGATGGCCATACAAAATCTATAAGTCTTCAACATCCTTGTATTTTAGCTTTTACTAACTCATATGTCTCAGGTATAACTGCCCCTGAATCATTAGCTGTGATGATACTGAGAATAGTATACAGGCCAGAAAGTTGTTCACAAGTGTTCTAAAAGCTTGTGTGTCCTGAAAGCAGTCTCCAAGTCATTCCTGGGTACTTCATTTTGAACTGCCAATGATCAAGATTCATATCCCAACGCCATGGCTTGATTCAGAAAAGAAGAAAGAGTGTGGAACCTTCGGTTAGAACACTGTAACCTGTATTATTCCAGAAGTTTCTGACTAAAAAAAATGTGAGGAACAATATTGTATTTTAAAGCAACAGTATTGGAATAAGAGTTCTTCTCTAGTGAAGAGAGGTGTACAGAACACGAGTGAAAGAAAGGTAACGATGATGGTAACTAATGTTGAGAGCTTAATATGAACTGGGCACTCTTCAATTTAATATGAACAGCACCCCCCTCCCCAACTTCTGAAGCCTTGATGTGAGAGTTTATCCTCTAATAATTCAAGTATTTGAAGTCAGAGCTCATCTAAAATAAAAAAGAAAATGTTAGTTATAGAAGTAGAATACTCTTAAGGTTAAGCAAAAAAAGAAAAAAATCTAATTTTACTTATCCAGAATCATCACATAATGTGTAAGAACCACACTATTTAAAGGGTACAAAGGCTAGGCTTTACGTTCCTATCATTACAGATGTTATAGAAATATTTAAATAAAATACAAGGCTTTGTTCAAGTGGACTCTGCTCTTCTCCCCACCCTCATTCTTTACCACCACCCCCCCAGGCTGACAAGAAATAGCTGCAGGCAAGGTATTTGAGAGAAGCACTCTGGGAAAGAAGATTCTGGTTAGGGTGAACTAGGCAACGATGTTGTGCAACCAGTTTCTGCCTATTTTTTTCCCATTACTTTTCAGAGTTTTGAGAGTAGCAGTTATCTTTATCTGACTGAATACAGGGAATGAGGTCACCTTCCCCTCTAGGACACTGAAATCTGTCACCATGGTTTTGATTTCTTATACAATCAAACTGTGTCGGGTGGAGGGCGAGGATCTATCTCATCGTCAGCTTTACAGTTAAGTGGATCTCACAAGGCGGGGTCGGTCGACCCTTGCACACATCTCTGAGGATGAATTTCCCAGTAACTCAGAACGTCAGTGGAGTGGCCAAACAAGTTTCTTGCGAAACCCCTACAAGGTACATATGTCCTAGGGCTGCACAGAGATAAACTCTTAAGCATATCTTCACATACCACCATTAAGGACACTCACTAGAGATCCCCACCCCACTTTCTTCCTCACAAATAATGAACGCTGGTTGTCCTGTATAATTTAAAGCCAGATTCCACTAAAACCAAGACTCTGCTCCAAAACGCACGAGAAAGACTGAGAGGATTAAGGAATAAAATAAAACAAAATAAAATCGATGTGGCTCCCTCAGAGGAGCTGGAGAAAAGTTAATAACTGTGCCGTGCCCGGTGGCAGAGAAATCTCCCCGTAATTGGCAAAGCCCTGGCGATTTTCCCACCCCTAGACCTGAGGGCGCTTGTCGGCTTCGAACACTCACCGTCCTAACAATGACTGGAGAAAAAAAAGTTCGCCGACGGCAGGGCACCCGCGCTCCCCCTACGTTGGCATCTCAGCTCTCGGGGTGCCTGGTTACTCCCCGAACTGCCCGTCTTGCCCTCTCCGGACACTCAGTATCTTCCCGCTCCGCAAGGCTCAAACGGCCAGGGTGCGCCCTCTCGCTGCTCAGACCAGCCAGCCACAGGCAGCTGAAAGAGCATGCCCTCTAGCCCCGAGGTCTGGCCCCATGAGTCCCTGATAGCACAGGACTAGCACGGGAAGGAGCGCCCGGAGGGGACTCCGAAGGGAACGGCCACCGCAGTTATGGCGCTCAACGCCTCGGGAGGTGTCCGGGAGGCTGTAGCTCAGCTCGCGTGTCCGTGTCCGCGCCCCCCCCCAACCCCCGCCCGGCCCACCGGGCAGAGCGCGCCACCAGCAGAGGGGCGACTGGGCACTTTACCTCAGCCCACACACGCTCTCGGTTCCGAGGCTCTCGGGGGACCCCGGGGGGCAACCGCTACGTGGAGCTGGAGCGACCCCCGAGCGTGGCGAGGCCGGGACCCCAAGCTCCACGCCGCTCGCGACCCACTCCCCGAGGCCGCCACTCCCGCCACTCAACCCGCACTACGCCCACAAGCTCGCCGGTGCCGCGGCCGCCCTCGAGAGCGCCTACCTCCGGCGCAGCGTCTCGCACCGCTCCTTCCTCGCCGCACACTGAGGGCCCCCTCAACGTGCCGGGCGAGTCTGGCTAGGGTGGTAACCGCCCCCTAGCCGCCCGCTTTCTTCTCTTCCCTCCCTCGCACCTGCCCCCTAATCTCACCCCGCCCTCCTGCTCCGGCCTTCCGAGCAGCCGAGGGGGCCGCCCCCTAGCGCTCTGCTCCCGCCCTCGGCCCTGGCCGCCTGGCCCTTCAGGCCTCAGCCCTGGACAGGCTGCTGGGCGGCGGCAGCCAAGGCGGCGCGGAGCACTATTGTATTCCTGACACTGTGCGCTCCCACGCTCCGCCTCTTCCCTTTCCTTCCTCACTACCGCCACTCCCCGCCCCCCCAACCCCCGCCGGCTGCGCTCGCCCTACCCCACTGACTCCCCGCCGTCTGCTCGCCGCGCGTTCCTCTGGCGGGCTGGGCGCCGTCTCCAGCGCCACCGGCTTGGAGGCTCCACCCACCTCGGGCTCCCGCACGCGCGCGGTGCAGCGCTTCAGGTGGGTTCTCCTCCCCTCCTGCTGCGCGCGCTGCTGCCCTGAGGAGTCCCAGCCCTGCTGGTCGCTGGAGCCAGCGAGGTGCACTGGCTCCTGCTCCCGCAAGGTCCAGACGGAGCTTTCCAGCCTTCCTCCTCCTGCCTCCAATTGTAAAGTTCTACGAGTGCAATTCGTCTCTAAACTCTAAAACGACCATTATTTCTGACGTTGATGCTTAAAGCATGGATAAATAATAAAAGCAAGGAGGCAACTGACAGCACATTAATCCAGTTGTAAGCAAAAATGCTTTCTGATGGTATGGATCGTCTTTCTTTTTCTTTTTTTCTGAGGTCGACTTAGCCTACAGCTCCCAGTTATTCAAACCTTCGTCCAGGTGTTCCTGGGAAGATATTTTGGTACTGTAATTAAAGATCGGTTGACTTAAAAGTAGGGATCACTGCCTTGGATAGTTTAGGTGGCCCTATCAGAATGATTTGGAAAAACCTTTAAACTAGGGCTCAACAGACAGAGAGGATTGGACAGAGAGTGTAAAACTGTTCTTCAGAGCAAGTTCTAGTACAGCCAGGGCTACAAAGAGAAATCCTGTCTCCAAAACAAAACAAACAAGAAAATGTTCACCATGGATGCCTGCTTTGGTCTATGCTATGCCCCTGGGTTCCAGTTTCCTGATCTTACTTCCCTGGTCATCTGCCCTGCAACTTTTTGTTTTGTTTAGCCGTTGTCACAATTATGGAAGACAATAGTGTCGAATAAATAAGGGAAACATGTATAGTAGGAATATATAAAAGAAGTGTACATAATTTACTACTGGTTCTGGACCTTTGAGTCCTGGTAAATACAGATGCTTGAAAACAACTTTTTATTTACTTTTCTAGAACTGAAAATACATTATTCACAATTATGATGAACTCATATAGTTATTTTCACTTATATTTCTAGGTTTAAGCAATAATGTGGGCTCCTGCATTTTACCTGTTTTTCATACTGTAGATGTAATTCTACTTTATTTTATGTAAATCTATGAGTAGTAAAATATTCATAGTCCACATTTACTGTTATAATTGATTTATTTAAAAATAAAAATTCTACGAAGTCATAAAAATTCAAAGGGCTCCCATGCACCTTTCTAAGTACTTCTCAGAGTTTTCTCAAAATAGTAACCTCATATAACTATATAAAAACCAAGATAGTATCTCTTGTCCAATCTGAGGAACTCATTCAAATTTCATCAACTTCACAAGCATCTGAGTCTGAATATGTAAGTTCTACACAAGTGTATCACCTGTGGAGATTCATATGACCAACACAACACCTCAAAGAATCCCCCTGGTACCCACCCATTATCATAGGTCACAATTTAGCAGTTTATTCATTGAAGGACATTTGGGCTGTTTACAACTTTGCCTGTTAAGAGTATGACTGCTGGGCCATGGAGCTAGCTCAGTAGGTAAAAGCACTAGCCACCAAGCCTGATGACTTGATTTTGATCCCATGAGTTTGGAAAGAAAGAAATGAGTCTTGAAAACTATCCACATAGGAAACACACACACACACACATGCAGACACGCGCACACACACTCACACACGTGTACACGTGTAATAAAATTTTTTAAATGCTGTAAACAGTTTGTAGGGTTTTTTTTTATACAAACACATGTTTCCATTTTCTTGTGCCAAATAAATGTTAAGTACAGTGGATGGTCAGGTGCTAAATGTGTGCCAAATTTTCCCAAACCAGCATACCATCCTGTTTTTCTATCTACAGGTCATAAGAGATCAGTTCACGTGTTCTTTTTGTGGATGTATTTTGGACATTTTCTAATTGGATTATTTCATACTATTAAATTTGGAGACATATATTTTTTTTCAAGTCCTCAGTCAGATATGTAGATAATCAGAAATAGTTTTCCACAGCTGCCTTTTCATTTATTTAACAGACATTCTTGCAAACTACTTTTGGAGAGGTCCAGTTTATCAAATTTTGCACTTGAGTATAGTGCTTTTGGTGTCATGCCTAAAACATCTTCACCTGGTTTCACATGCCCTCCCTTATGTTTTCTCTAAAAAGTATTACAGTTTTATTATTTAAGTCAGTGGTTCACTTTGAATTAATTTTTGTTATAAACTTAGACCTAAGATAGAGATTCTTATTTTTGTCTATGAATAGTTGGTGACTCAAATAAAATGACTATCTTTGCTTCATTAAATTGCTTTTGTATCTCAAAATCAATTGGGTCATGTGTATGGGGCCATTTTTTGGCTCTTTTGTATTCTAATAATCTACGTGTCTCTCCTGTGAATACTATTCTTTTTTTTTTTTTTTTTTTTTTTTTTGGTTTTTCGAGACAGGGTTTCTCTGAGTAGTCCTGGCTGTCCTGGAACTCACTCTGTAGACCAGGCTAGTCTCGAACTCTGGAACTCAGAAATCCGCCTGCCTCTGCCTCCCAAGTGCTGGGATTAAAGGCGTGCGCCACCACCGCCCGGCTTTGTGAATACTATTCTTAATTGTGACAGCTATAGAGTAAGTGTGGAGAGCAGTCCCTTACTTTATTCTTTTTACAAATTGTTTTGGCTATCCAAGGTAATTTGTCTTTGTTGTTTTTTGTTTGCTTGTGGGTTGGTTTTGTAGGAGTTTTGGTGTTGGTGCTGGTGGTGGTGCTGGTTTTATTTTGTTTTGGTTTTTTGAGGCAGGGTCTTACTTATGTTGTTGACTATCCTGGAACTGCCCTGGAATTCACAGAGATTCGCCTGGCTCAGTTTCGAAAGTGTTGGAATTAAAGGCATGCACCCCCACACCTGGCTGGTAATTTTTGTCTTTTCACCTACTTTTTGTAATGGACTTCTTTTGTATTTACTAAAATCTTGATGGAATTTTAAGAGAAGTTGCATCAAACATTATACATATGTGTATGTATATGTGTGTATGTATATATGTATACACATATATACATACACACACATATATATCTGTTTGGGAAGAACTGACATCTTCTCAACATTCTGTTCTAGTCCTTCAACTTGATATTTCCCATCCCTCCATTTAGTGATAATCTTTGGCTTCTTCATTGGCACTGTGGAATTGCCAGTGTATAGATCCTATGCATGTTTTGTTAAGCGTGTACCTAAGCACTTCATTTCCTTTGGAGTGCTTAGAACTAGTAATGCGTTTTAAATTCAAGCCATACATTAATTGTTGACTGCCGGTATAACATAGAAATAAAACTGGTGTTTGTGTGTTGATCTAAATATCTTGTTACATACTGAACTCAATTATTGGTTCAATGAATCTTTTGGCAGGTACTTTGGAAAGTCTATGTAGAAAATTATGTCATTGGCCTGGTAAGATGGCTCAGTGAATAAAGGCACTTGCCACCAAGCCTGAAGTGAATAAATTTAATGTAAAAGAAAGAATGAAGCTTGTGTTTTGTGGTAGTGGAAATGGTTTGTATCTCCTTTCTAATCATGTGCTTTTTATTCCTTTTTCTTGCCTGATTGCACTGGCTGCAGCATATGAATTATGTTAAATGAAAGTAATAGTTTGTTTGGATAGATGTTAGGAGGAAACATTTCCTCTTTGACCAGTAAGTATGATACTAGTGGGCTTTTAGAAGATGTTCTTTATCAAGTTGAGAAAGCACCCAGGTATTCGTAGTTTGCTTAGATTTCTTTTCCAGAGCTGAGGACCAAACCCAGGGCCTTGGGCTTGCTAGGCAAGCGCTCTACCACTGAGCTAAATCCTCAACCCCTAGGATTTTTTTTTTTTACTATAGATGAATGCTGAATTGTGTTAAGTATAATATGAGCATATGATTTTTCTTCATTAGCTTGATGGATATGGTAGATTCATTGATTGAATATTGGGATTTTGTTGTTTAGGCTTTTTATTGGCTTGTGGTTTCATTTGTTTTTTAAGACAATCACTACGTAGCCCAGGGTGACCCCAAACCCATGATCATCCTGCCCATGAGTAAGGTATATAACATGTCTGACATTTTGTCTGAAAGATTTTTTTCAGCATTTTGCATATATGTATGTGGTGTGTATGCATGTATTCCTCTTTGCATGTGTGTGTACATGTGGGAAGTGAACATGTCCGTGTGTAGAGGCCAAAAACTAATATCAAGTGTCATATTTGATTGTTCTCTACTTTATTTACTGAGGCAGGGTCTCTGAATGAGCTTGCCAATTTGGGTTAGTAGAGGTAGTCACCTTGCCTTGAAGAATTCCTGTCTCAGTCTTCCCAGTCATGGGATCCCAGATAGAACATGCCTGCCCAGCTCTTTTCATAGGTCCTAGGGATCTAAATTGTCCTCATGTTTAAACAGTAAGTACTTTCTCCATAGAGCTAACTTCTCAGCTCTGTTTTTTTTTTTAATTCAAAGCTGGGTATAGTGGTACATGCCTTTAAGCCCAGAACTTAGGAGGCAGAAACAGGCAGATTTCTGTGAGTCAGGTCTACATAGAGAGTTTCAGGACAACCACTACAGACAAACTCTGTCTCTCTCTGTGTCT